CAGGTGAATCGGGCTCTTCCTCGTTCCAACATTGTCTACAATCTCTATGAATATTCAGTACCAGAGGACATGTACCAAGAACACATCAACGAGATCAACACTGAGTTGTCAGCACCAGACATTGAGGGCGTGTATGAGACTCAGGTGATTGTCTCCCTGACCACTGACCACTTGGGTGAAGATGAAGCTGGATGAAAAGATTCTCCACAGGGAATCAGGCAGCGGGCAGTGGTGGACAGCTAGGTTAGATGGTGATGGGTTGGGAAAGTCCCATAGGAAAGTGGCTCTCAGCAGCATGTCTGCCTAAGATGGCCTCTTCTGGGTGAAGATAGGCTGTGCTGGGGTATGTGGCCACAGATTAAGCTGTGGTGCTAGAGTCTTCCATTTGAACCGACATACTACCTATTCTCCCAGGTCCCATTGTTATTTCGGGCCCTTGTGCAACTGGGCTGTGTGTGTGTGGTCAACAAACAGCTGGTGAGACACCTTTCAGGCTGGGAAGCTGAAACCTTTTCCCTCGAGCACCTAGAAATGCGTTCTCTGGCCCAGTTCAGCTACTTGGAACCAGGTATGGCCTCACTAGCAGCCCTATTACCTGTCCTGCCTCTTCTGCATCTTGGGCAACCGGCTTACTTTCTTCCACAGGGAGTATCCGCCATATCTACCTGTACCACCACTCACAGGGCCACAAGGCACTCTTTGGGGTCTTTATCCCGTCACAGCGAAGAGCATCTGTGTTTGTGTTGGATACTGTGAGTGCTTGGGCATTTGAGAATATGTGGGTCAGGCAGGATATGGGGAAGAAAGACACTCCTCTTGCCATTCAGCTAGAAGTGGAAAGGCATAACTACCCAGCTTCACACACAGACATACAGGAAGCCTAACAGTTGGTATTTGCCTAGGTGCGCAGCAACCAAATGCCAAGCCTCAGTGCTCTGTACTCAGCAGAACATAGCCTGCTGCTGGAGAAGGTAGACCCCAAGCTCCTGCCTCCCCCAAAACACACCTTTGAAGTTCGTGCTGAAACTAACCTGAAGACCATCTGCAGAGCCATTCAACGCTTCCTGCTTGCCTACAAAGTAAGAGAAGTTGGGGTCCAATGGTGGGAGTCTCCCATCCCAAGGTATTGTCCACTGAGCCCCTTCTGCCTTCTGCTAACCCCAGGAAGAGCGCCGTGGGCCCACACTCATCGCTGTCCAGTCCAGCTGGGAGCTGTGTAAACTGGCCAGTGAGATTCCTGTCTTAGAGGAGTTCCCACTAGTTCCTGTCCGAGTAGCTGACAAGATCAGCTATGGAATCCTAGACTGGCAGCGCCATGGAGCTCGCCGAATGATCCGGCACTACCTCAACTTAGACACTTGCCTTTCACAGGCCTTTGAGATGAGCAGGTGAGGAATTAGTTGTAGCTCAGTAGTAGAAGTTAGCTAGAAAGTACATTTCCCAGTACCACACACAAGAAAAGAGATAAGCAAGTGAAGCCATGGGCTGGCTGCCTACAGTATATGGCCCTGTGAGTAGTCCCTAAATGATGCTCGTATACTTGGGACTGAACCTTTACCCTGTACAGGTACTTCCACATCCCTGTTGGGAACCTGCCAGAAGACATCTCCACCTTTGGCTCCGACCTCTTTTTTGCACGCCACCTCCAGCGCCATAACCACCTGCTTTGGCTGTCACCTACCTCTCGGCCTGACCTGGGTGGGAAGGAAGCTGATGACAACCGCCTTGTCATGGAGTTTGATGATCGAGCCACTGTGGAGATCAATAATTCTGGCTGTTATTCCACTGGTGAGTGAGAGAAGGGAAAGATGGGCACTTCTGCCCCACCATTTAATGATTCCTTCTTAGCACATGGGGCTCAGTGCTCAACCATGTAGAATAAGCTCAAAGGCAAGTCTTAATGCCTATAATCCCAGCACTTGGGGAGGCAGAAGGCAGGCAGATCTCTGTGAGTTCAAGGCCAGCCTGGTCTACAAAGTGAGTCCAGGATAGCAAAGCTACACAGAGAAATGCTGTCTTGAAAAAAAAAAAAAAGAGAGAGGAAGGAAGGAAGGAAGGAAGGAAGGAAGGAAGGAAGGAAGGAAGGAAGGAAGGAAGGAAGGAAGGAAGGAAGGAAAGAAAAAAAGAAAGAAATGGGTACCAACAAGTTATATGTTGGTAATAGGTCATTTGCCATGCCTGACCTTGCTAGGCAGCACTGACTGTATTAGTGGCAATGACTCGGGCTGGCCTCATGCTGGTCTAGGATACATGGTCAATCTGTGTTTCTCCACAGTGTGTGTGGAGCTGGACATTCAAAATCTGGCAGTCAACACCATCCTGCAGTCCCACCATGTTAATGACATGGAGGGGGCTGGCAGCATGGGCATCAGTTTCGACGTGATCCAGCAGGCCTCCCTAGAGGACATGGTTACAGGCAATCAAGCAGCCAGTGCCCCAGCCAGCTACGATGAGACAGCCCTCTGCTCTAGCACCTTCAGGTATCTGCTACCATCCTGTAATGTGTTATCTTCCTAGACAAGGCAACAGGGAGAAGGTAACCTCCACTTTAGAATGCTAAAGCCAGAGTCAGCAATATATATATTTTACATATATATATATATATTTTACAGGGTCTCTGTATAGCTCTGGATGGCCCGAAACTCACTTTGTAGACCAGACTGGCGTCAAATTCATAGAGAGCCACATACCTCTGCCTTTCAGGTGCTGGAATTATAGACGTGCACCACAAAATCATCTTTTTTTAATCTTTAATTTTTTTTCTACTGATTAGGTTATTTATTTACTTCCTGTCCCTCTCCTCCCAGTTCCTCCTTCTCACATTAACTCCCGCCATCCACCCCTTTACCCCTTCTCTTCAGAAAAGGGGAGGCCCCCCATTGATATTACTTTTTTTTTTTTTTTTCCTTAGGGTTCAGACTTTATTGGTTCAACCAGAAATAGGAAAGGCAACGTAACTGTTATTCCGGGGGTGTCATCTACAGACGTGAAAGCCACCTTTCGAAACTTGATATTACTTTTATACTTTTAATTATGTATATGTATGTGTGTGTGTGAGTATAGGTGGCCACAAAGGCCAGAGGAGTCAGATACCAGAACTAGAGTTACAGGACATTGTAACCTGGTGTTGGCAATTGGATTCCAGTCCTGTGGAAGAGCAGTAATGCTCTTAACCACTATGTCAGCCTTAGAGTCAGCATTCTTCAGATGTCCTTTCTTGAGTCTTCCATAATACAATCAAGGGTCCCCATGTCCCTGCCTAGTTAACTAGTAGGCACTACAAGTGCTACAGTCTGACCTTTCTGGGGCCAGAGGCTATTCTCATAAAGAACTTCTTGATAAATAATTGCTTTCAGTATAATTAAAGGTGTATATGCAAGAAATTCCCAGGGTACCCAGCCTAGTGAGTCATAGTAGCCAGTATCATCTGTCAGAGATATGGTCAGCCCTAGCTCCTGGTGATGGGACAGTATATACTATAAAGTGTTTCCTTTGTGCCAGAAACACAGAACACTTTTATTTCACCTATTTCCATGGCTCTGTAAAGTAGTGCTAGAAACAGCAAAACCAAGATCAAAGGAGCTGAAGTTATGATATGTTACTGTGGCTATGTATGAGGTAGATATCTCATGTCTGTGATTCTAGAACCCATTTCAGCTTTGTTGCCTCCAAATGAAGGAAGAAAGGAATTTGCTGAAGTAAGAACTAGACTAGGAGGACTGGTTGCTGAGAGCAGAGTTGTGACTGAAAAAGTATTTCAACCCTGAGCAGCAGGTGAGGATCAGACCCAGATGGCAGAGCCCACCAGTTGATGGGCATTTGTACAGGAAAACATAAAAGTGACATCAGCATCATGTCTCTGATGCTCTGTCTCTTTCACGATTCAAGTCCAGTCTATTCCACCTGAACATTGCATTGTCCCCAGGAACCTCCCCTGTGTCTCATTGGCATCAAGAAAACTCAGCTTGGGCCAGTCCCTGGCTCTTACATGGAAGGCACATAATTAACTCTGATTCTTCATTCAGCTCTTCTAATGGTGAAACCTTGTCTCAAAACAGAACAAAACAAAACAAAACAAAAAACCTGCTATTGCAGAGGACATGATTTTAGCTCCAGAACCCGTGTTGAGTAGTTCACAACCACCTGTAAATCTAGCTCCAAGGTATCAGATACTATCTGGCTTCTGTGGGCACCTATACTCACTGTGCAAACCCTCCCAGCTGCATGTAAAAATAAGTCTTGGGGCTGAAGAGATGGCTCAGAGGTTAAGAGCACTGTCTGCTCTTCCAGAGGTCCTGAGTGCAATTCCCAGCAACCATGTGGTGGCTCACAATCAATCTATAATGAGATCTGGTGCCCTCTTCTAGTGTGCAGGTGTACATGCAAACAGAACATTGTATGCATAATCTTTTTTAAAAAAAAAAAATGTCTTAAGGACAAAAGCCTATCATGTGTCTCCTTCCTTGTCCAGTTGTGGTGAGCAAGCAATTGAGGGAGTTATGTGGAAGAACGTGATAAGGAGGTAAAGCTCACAAGTTACAGGGTCAAGGAATGAAATGCACACAGTGACAATTAGGGATTATGAGAGGGGACAGTAATGGTGTGAATCATTCTCTTTGTCATCTTTCAGGATCCTAAAGAGCATGGTGGTTGGCTGGGTAAAAGAAATCACACAGTACCACAACATCTATGCTGACAACCAGGTAATGCACTTCTACCGTTGGCTCCAGTCGCCACACTCCCTGCTCCATGACCCAGCCTTGCACCGGACACTGCACAATATGATGAAGAAGCTATTCTTGCAGTGAGTGTTTTACCCTGGGCTGGGCTGTGGGCTGATGGGCATAAGCCAGTGCCTTTGAGATGTATAAAGCCCAGGGTAGGCTTAGCTGCTGTTGTGGCAGAGGCAGGCGGATTTCTGAGGTCAAGGCCAGCCTGGTCTACAGAACAAATTGCAGGACAGTCAAAGCTACCCAAAGAAATCCTGTCTCAAAAAGCCCAAACAAAACAAAAACCTGAGTGAAGTTCCCCATGGGGTCCTGGTATGCAGTGGTTGCAAACAGCAGCCTCCTTTGCAGTATATACAGCCTGTTGCCTATATGGGTTGTCCTCCAGGACCTTGGAGACAATTCTTTGGCTGTTATTCAAATTTCTGATCTCAATGCTGTCCCCAGTCTAGGATCTGAACAGGTATTTGTGGTACCTTTGGGAAGCCCCAGAGCACAGTGGCCAGGCAGGGTTCACATTGGCCAGGTCATCATGTCCATTCATACAAAACTACAGAAAAAGGAACATGTGATTGAGGCTCTTTGTAGAGCCATGTTCAAGTTCCATGACCACCAGAAGAGCCTCCTCTCAAAGATGTGGGCCTTCACCAAGTTTGATGCAAATGAATTTGATGACATGGTCACTGAGAAGTAGCTCATTCTTGGTGGCTATAAAGTCAAACATACCCTAGTCATGGTCCCCTGGACAAGTGGCACTGAGGAAGCTGAGAAAGATGCCAAGTCCAGGACTAGCCTGGGCTACACTATATTTTTTAAATATAGGAGTGGTCTATCTGCATGTAGGTATCTACATGCCAGAGGAGGACATCAGATCCCTTACAGATGGTATGAGCCACCATGTGGTTGCTGGGAATTGAACTGAGGACCTCCAGAAGAGCAGTGTTCTTAACCTCTGAGCCATCTCACCAGCCCCACAAGGATTTCTTGGTCAGCCTGCGCTATGAAGTAAAACCATCTCAAAATAAACAAACAAAAAAACCTAAGTGAGTTCTGTATGTAAAGGAGCCATGTTTCTGTAATAAGAGCCTACAATTTTTTTTTTTTTAATTATCTATTGCCTTTGTGCTATTTTTCTGCCATGTCGGACTCCAATCTAAAAGCAGGGGAGGGATCTTGCTCTGTTATTGTAGATGCACCTGTAAGTCACAGCTACTCAGGAAGCTGAGGCATGAGGATTGCCTGACCTTGAACAGAGTAGTAGAGCCAGACCTCATCTGGTTTTGTTTTGTATTTTAATATGTATGAGTGTTTTGCCCTTGGTGTATCTGCACCATGTGTGTGCCTGTTTCCCAAAGAGGCCAGAAAAGTGTAATAGATCCCCAGAATTGGGATTATAAATGGTTGTGAGTATCTATATAGGTTCTGGTAATCAAAGCTGAGTCCTCTGGAAGACCAACCAATGCTCTTAACCATTTAGCCATCTATCCAACCCCCAAAGTTCATTTTAAAAGACAGAAATTTCTTCTTTATTGCTTTTGGGTCCTGAGCCTGCTCTTTTTGCTCATTCTAAGTATAGTCAGTATGCTTCTTGTTTCAGTATCACCATGGTCTTCATGGTTTCTCTTTGTATTCTCGGGCTTCATTTTACACCAAGGCATCTCCTCCATTAATTATAAACTTACTCTACAGGCTTATTGCTGAGTTCAAGCGCCTGGGGTCATCAGTCATCTATGCCAACTTCAATCGCATCATCCTCTGTACAAAGAAGCGCCGGATAGAAGATGCCCTTGCCTATATGGAATATATTACCAACAGGTTAGTGGAGGGGCCATCCTGGTGGTGCAGCTGCCATGGACACAGCAGGGGTAAGCACAGCAGCATGAAAAGAGTGGCTACCACCTTACAGTTTCCCTATGAAAAAGCGTGTTGTTCACATCTGAAATAAACTTTTCACAGATCCGGGCATGGGCACATGGGCACATGCTTGCAGGCAGTCAGTCATACAGAGCTCTCAATTGCAGGACCCCATGTTGTACTTTGGCTTCAGGCAGTGATCCCTGCCTGAATGAATCATTTTCCCAAGTCTATTTGGGCCCAGAGGCTCCACTGTAAATAAGATGAAGTCCTGAGGGTTTGGTTTGGGTGTGTGTGTGTGTGTGTGTGTGTGTGTGTGTGTGTGTGTGTGTGTG